CAAAGACAACCCTCTGAGGTGAGGGGAGCACTGCCTGGCTTGACCCGAATAGAGGCAGCTTATCAGGGAAGCAGCAAGCGGCCCAACAACCTGTTGTCACTGCCATAGAGCTCAAGAGAGGAGGGTTCAACCCCTAGCGAGAGAGAGGAACCCAGCTCGACATAAGTGACCAATAGGGTTGAGGACCTAACTCTCGAGTCGAGAGGAGGACTCACCCAGTCTGCCCAGGACCGGCGAGGGGAGCACAGCCATGTCCGGGGGCAGACAGATCACAAATGGGACATCAGAAATGGGATCCTGTTAGAAGGGGATCACGCATTTCTAAGGGAACAACAGGGTCCCAACATAAAGGCAACTGACCAAGGAGGTGACAGAGACGGGCCTAACACTTAGTTCGTTGCAAATGGGGTTCTTCGGGAGCAGCGCTCTCGGCTCTCAAGCTGAGGCGGGCCCTTACAGCACATACTGGGAGCGACTCATAGCTAACCCTCACAGAGAGGGGAGCACTTCTCAGCTCGACCAGAAGGGGTAACCCAGCAGGGCCCAATAAGAGACAGTTCACTGGAGGAGCTGGACACGGTCTCATGCTCTCTATCTCGATAGAGAGTGTGGGTCCCGTATAACCAGACCCAATAGAATCTGAAGAAATAGCGCAACCCAATAACCATTCATGTGTATAGAGCTTACTGCTCCTCAGAGCAGAAAGCACAAAAGAGGGGTTTCCACAGAAACACAAATCCCTCTTACCTCAGGGAACGCAGTGTACTCCAGCCCACTCCGCAGAGGGGTGATTACTGGTTTAACCATAAGGGCAGTGTGACAGTGAGGACCCACGGGCCCGACCGTCTATGGAGCATTGAGCTCTAGCTCAGAGAACGTGCATGAAGGTTAAGGAACTACTCAAATATCGGGAGACCCCTCAGGGTGAGAAATGAGTAGCGCACCTTGGCCAGAGGATAGGGAGCATGTCACGAAGCATGTACTCAGAAGAGTACTAGCCCACGAGAAGGACCCGCAGGTCCTGAGGTTGCAGCGTTATACTGGGGACCTGATGCTGGGAGGCTTCCTCAGAAACCCAGCCGAAGATGAGGTCTATCACCAGCCTGGATCCAGAACCGATGAGTGAAACCATCACTGTAATCGGTCAATAGCAGGAGGTCCTGACTTAGCAGGTGGGTCAAACCTAAAAGTCAGAAAACGGAACAGGTCTGAGTAGCGCTGCAGAGAAAGGCTAGCATCGAATACACAAGAACTAGCAGTAGAGTAGATGAAAATGGATCGTACTCACCAACCATGGCTCCTGCGCATGACTCAGGCTCATGGATATAGGCTGGAGGCGAAGTCCGAAGCCGGGACCTTCATGGAATGAAGGATTTAAAGGCAGCCGAGCGTGTCTTGGCCTCCTTAAACTTCACGACCACCGTCTCGACGGAAGTGCCGAAAAGCTCAGAACGGGAAACGGGCGCATCAAGAAGAAAGCCCTTCTCTTTCGACCCGATATCCACCAGGCTCACCCACAGATGTCTCTCCGTAACCGCCATGGATCTGCCAATGGCAGTGGTGGCCTGCTTAGTGGCACGGAGAGCAATATCCATGGTATGACACAACTCAACCCAATCAGGAGATAGACCCTGCCTTTATCCACTTTCAGCAGATCAGCCTGATAAGCCTGAAGCACCGCCATGGTGTGCAACTAGGCTGCAGCCTGACCTGCTGCCGCGCATGCCCTGCCATTCAAACGAGAAGTATCCTGAAGGGGTTTGGACGGCAGGGAGGGAGCCTTAAGAGAAGATGTCTCCCCCATAGAGAGATAGCAGGCCAGCGTCTCTTCAACAGGGGGATCTTTTCATAACCATTCTCACGCATAACCTGGCAGGAGGGTTAACTTCAAGCCAGAGTGCAGTATAATTAATTTATCTGAGAAGGACATGATATAAATCATCTGTCCAATTCATGCTTATCCCTCACAAGAAATAAGCAACGAATGCAGAGCGCATCCAACTCCCTCAAGAGCTGAACGCGCTTGCTCTTCACCACACACACACACACAGCACACTAGCCGTGTGAAACTGCTGGTATCAGAGCAAAGCCTCTGGCGAGAGAACATGCACTCCTAGTCGTGTTTAGCTTAACACTAACATAAACAAACGGTCAGTGAAGACGAAGAAGAGGATGACGTGTTATCCCGGGCGAAGTCCGAAGCCGGGACCTTCATGGAATGAAGGATTTAAAGGCAGCCGAGCGTGTCTTGGCCTCCTTAAACTTCACGACCACCGTCTCGACGGAAGTGCCGAAAAGCTCAGAACGGGAAACGGGCGCATCAAGAAGAAAGCCCTTCTCTTTCGACCCGATAACCACCTGACTCACCCACAGATGTCTCTCCATAACCACCATGGCTGCCATGGATCTGCCAATGGCAGTGGTGGCCTGCTTAGTGGCACGGAGAGCAATATCCATGGTATGACACAACTCAACCCAATCAGGAGATAGACCCTGCCTTTATCCACTTTCAGCAGATCAGCCTGATAAGCCTGAAGCACCCTCCCTCGGAAGGGAACTACAAGTAGGCCTATAAAACAAACATAAATTAGAGTGGAATTCATTATAAACAACATTTATTATAAATGCCAAAACTAAGTTACCGATGTGTGGGAAATGTGTTGTATAAATAAACTTGGGCTCACATACTTCACTCATTTAGCTCAAATTCAGATGTGTCTGCTTTGTGCATGCTTTGTGTGCTTGACATTAATTGCATTATATTCTCATATTCTGGAAAATACGGTAGTTACGAAGCAAAGTTCCTCTAAAGCAAATCAGTTAACATGGTGGCCATCTTGCCGACACCCACGGGCAACATTTTTAATGAAGGGAACAGTCACGTGAGTGGAAAAACTGAGATTTTTGAAACTCAACTTAACTAACCACCTGCTGGTCAAAATGGTGCATAAAACACCTTTTAAAAATCAATTGCAAAAGTATAGGGCTAATTTATTAAATGCATTCTACAAAAATTTAAATATTATTAAACAGGAAGTGTCTGTAAGTGTTCTTTTATTAACTTGTAGGGCTTGTGTTTTATCAAGGGCTTGGCTAATCAGGCCAATAAGAGAAATTTAACTACGACTCTTCTTTTTGTATTATACAAATGTGTAATTAAAAATATCCATATTATAAAGCTGATCCGAGATCAGGTAAACACTATATAGACACTGGTTAATGGGTTAGCAGATCGCCCCCTAGCGGCAAACTTGTTTACTAAAATCATGTGACTTTGGCAGTTGGATATGCGTCATGAAAGATTTGCAAAGGTTTCAAAGCTTAATAAATTAGTGTTTTGAAAATGGCCATCACTAATAGCGAAATTTCCAAAAATATTTGTTGAATTTTCAATTACATTAGCGATAAAATCTGACAATCATGGTATCATAAATGTTGGTGCTTTACAGTAGCTCAAATTCAAATCTCCATTGATTTGCAGCCACAACTGACACAATGGCAACACCCTGTAATGTATTTGCAGTGTCTCTCTTTTAGCTTGGTATGACATAAACACAGACAAACAGTCTGGCACAAGGCTCCATTCTCTGCAGTGACTGGTACTTATGGAGCACAGCATGTTAGAAGCCTCTCTGTTGTCCTCCATTCCACCAGTGTCTTTTGTACTGCAGTCATTATTTTACATCACGACACTACGATTACATGCTTGAAAAGGGCAAAACAAAAGTTGACTGTTTGCATTGCACACGCATGATGTCTCGATAACATCTGGTAATTTAGATCAGATCAGGTGCAGGTATTTCAGTTAAGTATTTTGTCGATCTTTTACACATGAATTGCATAATGTTGTTAACCAGGAAGTTTTTTTTTTTAAATGGACGCTGATGACATCCATAGTAAGGTGGCCTATTGCATATGCAATACCAATAATTTATGTAAATACAATACTATATATGAATACACATGCAATGTCCACAACACTGAATTAACATTTTGTACAAAATTCACTTAAATTTCAGATTGGTAAACTGAAAATATCCATTACTCTTTGGATATTTCAAGTCTGTCAGCAGATTTTAGAGGTGACACTTTTGTCAATTGGTCAAGCATTCATGGTTAATGGGTGATAGAGATAATCAAATGGCTAACTAGTGGCAATTTAATCATCTGGTTGATATACAGGTGCATCTCAATAAATTAGAATGTCGTGGAAAAGTTCATTTATTTCAGTAATTCAACTCAAATTGTGAAACTCGTGTATTAAATAAATTCAATGCACACAGACTGAAGTAGTTTAAGTCTTTGGTTCTTTTAATTGTGATGATTTTGGCTCACATTTAACAAAAACCCACCCATTCACTATCTCAACAAATTAGAATACTTCATAAGACCAATAAAAAATTTTTTTTAGTGAATTGTTTGCCTTGGAAAGTATGTTCATTTACTGTACATGTACTCAATACTTGGTACTAGTATACATCACATTTCCTCAGATACTCCAAACATCTAATAGTAATCACAAAACTATAATGTAAAATAATAGATTTATTTCCCAAGGCAAGTTCAGCATAGGTTTGCAGAATACAAACAGTTAAGTGAACTGTGTGCTGGATGAACTGCATGAGTTGTGGTCATTCTAACTTAGGTCTGTGTTTGAGGAATGAACTGTGCAACTAAATCAAGTTTGAACTGATGTCACCGAGTAAATATGCAATTCCCTGATAGACTTTGGCTACTGTGAGAAAAAGGTCTGATTTAACTTCTGGAATGTTTAAGAGCCAGTGAGGAAAGGGCAATGACACCTTTTATTCTTAGAAAAAGCTTAAAATTCGATGCAACTATATTACATTTTAAGCACAAATGATATAAATGAGAAAGCATAAAATTAAATGTCTACTTAATTAACATTTATATAACAATTATAACTATAACTAAAACTGTTATGTAAAAAAAGAAAAAAGGTAACTGAAATAAATAGTAATAATAATAATAATAAAATATAAAAACTTATTTAAGCTACTTGCAAAGGAAACATTTCTCATTTTCATTTAGTTTACCTTAATGTAATAAAATAAATGAAACTAAAACTGAAATAAACTAATAAAAACTATACAGACATTAAAAACCAAAACAAAAATTGTAACAATTTACAATAAGGGCCCATTAGTTAATGTTAGTTAAAGGGTTAGTTCACCCAAAAATGAAAATTAGGCTGTGTTTTACTCACCCCCGAGGCATCCTAGGTGCATATGACTTTCTTCTTTCAGACGAATCCAGTCGGAGTTATATTAAAAATTGTCCTGGCTATTCCAAGCTCTATCATTGCAGTCAGCGGGTGTTGCAGTGCTTCAGTCCCAAAGAAGTGAAATAAAATGTGCCCATCCTTAAAAAAAAGTGTCTCACACGGCTCCGGGGGGTGAACAAAGGCCTCCTGTAGCGAATCGATGCGTTTTTGTAAGAAAAATATCCATATTCAAAACGTAATAATCACTTTAATCTAGCTTGCGCTCACTGTTGTAAACGGAAGCAGCTCCGGGCGGATGATGTATGAGGTCAGCGCTGCGCATGCGCTGCTCAGAAGTGACGCACGCGGAAGGGCAGGGGAGAGATCAAAACAAAACAACGGTCAAGAATTAGAAGTACAAAACGAGGATTTGTAAAGAAGAATGTCAGAGGATTTCGATATAAGCCAAGAGGAGACTGGTTTTCCTTTGCTAAAGTAAGGAAACTTTGCTTCCTTGATCCTGTTAACAAACATTGGTTTTCATGAGACTCACCGCCGCATGCGCAGCGCTGAACTCATACGTCATCCGCCCGGAACTGCTTCCGTGTACAACTGTTGGTGCAAGCTAGATTAAAGTGATTATTACGTTTTGAATATGGATATTTTTATTACAAAAACATTCACTACAGAAGACCTTTGTTCATCCCCCGGAGCCTCACTCTGACACCTTCTTATAACCTGTCTGTCTGCCACAGCACCATGTTTTCACTCAGCGTCCCCAGACTGTAAGAAGGAAAGTCACATCTCTTACCTGCTATCTTCATATTCATGTGAGCATCCAGTAACAAGTTCTCAGCCTTCAGGTCTCTGTGAACAATATTGCGTTCGTGGCAGTACTCCACCGCTGAGAGGATCTGCCAGAACTTCCTCCTCGCATCCATCTCGCTGAGCCGCCCGCGGCTGGCCAGGTAGTCTGTGTTGCCAGACAGGGATCAGGTGTTATTGGGTCGTCATCTGCACATCTAGGCAACATGTCACAGTCATGAATTTTTCATGAAAATGGTATGCAGATTGTGACAATGAACAGGGAAGGGGCACGCAAAACATCTGTTTAACAGGGCTGCTCATAGACGGCCAGTTACTATGTTGGACTAGTCAATATAAAAAAGTAAACAAAATCAGTTTGAAGCTGAACAGCTGGGGTTAATCACATTTATTTGAAATCAACTGAAATGTAAAAGTAATATAATTTTAATTTAAAATTATTATTATTATTGCCTTGAGGTCTGTTTATAAGTTGTGTTTGTAAACGTTGTTGTGCCAAACAGTGTCAATTCATGTTCAGTTTCATATGGTTAAGAAAAAAAAACACTTTTATGGCATTTTCAGAAAGAGTTCAAATTGAACAAGTTTGTAGACATACAGTACAGTTCATAAGTTAAGGGTTGGTAAGATTTGTTCATGTTTTTGAATCAAGTCTCTTATACTCAGCAAGGCTGCATTTATGTGATCAAAATTATAGTAAAACAGTAATATTGTGAAATATGATCACAATTTAAAAGAACTGCTTTCTATTTTAATATTTTTAAATTGTAATCTATTCCATTCTGTGATGCAAAGCTGTTTTTAGCAGTACTCCAGTCTTCAGTGATTCTTTAGAAAGCATTCTAATTTGCTGATTTGCTGCTCAAGAAACATTTCTTATTGTTATCAGTGTTAAAAACAGTTGTGCTGCCTAATATTTTTGTGGAAACTGTGACACAGTTTCTGAAATATTAATAAGCAGTGAAGCGATTTTAAGAAATAACAATAAAAAATTATGCCAAACTACTTAATAAAGTTTTCTTTTCAAGAATTTCTTTCTTTTAATGAGTCTTGTTTTTCTTCATCATGATCATTTTTCTTCATCAGGACAGTTGTATCACCATGATATTTTAAAACTATGCTCATCACAGAAGAAGTCTATTCATGCCAATGTATATCTGAATAGCATTTTTAATGTATTTTTAAATAAATGAATAAATCTAGACACTTTTTTATTCTAGTTTTAGTTGTACTAATGTTCTTTAGTCATTTGTATTATTCATTTTCGAAATATTTGTATTTAGCTTTAATTTATTTTTATTTCAGTTTTAGTTTTAATAATTTTAGTACTTCAACTTATTTTATTTCAATTAGTTTTCAAAGCAACATTCTAAAGTTTTTCATTTAATATTTGTATATTATTTTATTTCAGCTTTATTTCAATTAACACAATTTTGAATATTTGTAGTTAATAACAACACTGGTTCAGAAAGTGATTTTTTAGAAAGTTACAGTATATTTTTTATAGTACACTGATCTCTTTTATCTCAAAAGATAAAGGGAAATTTAAATCCTGAAGAATCCTTTAATAACATTATTTTCTCATCTCCTCTTTCATACATAGCAGGTGTTTGCTATACCTTTTGCCATGTCAAACTGATGTAAATATGCAACTACCAGCTTTTCATGAATTTCAAATCCAACAAAACAACCTGAAGCAAGCAGGATTTATTCATTCTCTCCAAAAACGAAAGGCCAACCTGTCATCCACAGCCGACCGCGCATTCAAAACAGGACCTGACTATCAGCCATGCCTGCTTCAGATGAGGGCCAAGCGCTGATAAAACAGCAGTCCTCTGAGTTAATCAGCTGACAGGGGCATGGAGATGCCAGTTGCATGCGTATGCATGTGTGCGTCATACGGCCCATGTGTTAGGGACATGTAGGAAACATCAAAGGATGCGCTGTGCATGCGAATGCGAGGCAGTGTGGGATGGTATGATATTGAGTTGACAGATGGCTTCACATCCCTATGGATTGACTATATGACAATGCGTCATTTGCACCCAGCAGGTAGTATAAGGAAACCGAACATCTAATCTGTATCAGTCAATCTCATGATGACGTGTGAAATTTAGAACCTTCTTGCAATTAAAATGCAACTTCTCTCCAACATCCAGAATGGAGCGAAATATGAAAGAAAAAGTGATTAAAGTGAAAAGGAGGCAAACAAACGGTTGACAAAAGTTCATATAAAAATGATCGAATCACTTCATTGGATGAATCGGTTAATCTCTACACTTCTGTAGAATTTTATCCTCCTCTCAGGTACAAACCCTCAACAGCTGCAGATACAAAATGATTAAATGCAAGACGCTCCATGTGGAGAAAGATAACATGTTTGTAATTGTATTAATTTATGATAAATCATTTGTGGTCTGGGTGGAACCAATCTTGTGTTAAGAATTGGACAGCAGTTCTAGTGACCTTTGACCAAAATCATAAACGAGTGACTAGATATTTAGCATTCAAATCAACTTCTAGTACACCTTGTATGGAGACCAGAATGTTTAACTGCAACGTTCATGCTTAATAAATAAAACTTAAGATGTTGATTAGAAGTCCTATCATGCAAAGTGCTAAACATCGAAATAAAAAGCAACAACTTAAATTACAGTGAAATATCAATTGAAATAGATATGTTTGACAAAAGGTGCGTTCTTAGGATTGTCAAAATGTCAAAATAATTGTTTTTATTTAAACTCATAGCGTCATAAACTCTAATCAGCTCCACACTTCATAGCATTCCAACACTGGCTATTTTCAGAATGCAATACTAGTGTACAGTCTACTGCATACTGCATATACAGTCAAACCAAAATTTATTCAGACACCTTCAACATTTCACAAATTATCACAGTTTATTCGCTATAGTTTAGAAAATGGTAATAAAATATGACAAGAACTCAGAGTTAAACTGTGTCAGAACAAATTCATCTTGATAATGTCAGATAACACTCAAGCAAAACATGGTCAGGCCAAATTGTCTGAATAATTTTTGATCCCAAATTTTTATCACTTTTACTAGTAGTCCACTGAATGAAGAATTTTTAGGTATATGTCACAGACTCACTCACAGTTTACTTTATTTTACTATCCTCAATTACATAAATGAAATATAGTTTCCTGCACCCACTAGTAAAAATATATAAAAAAATTATAACTGGTGTCTGAATAATTTTTGGTTTGCAGCACAAGCTGCACAAGCTCTGAGGACGACACAGTTGTTTCACAATTGGCCAGATTCATTGATGACGAGTGTTTTGTGTTTATTCTTCACACCTTAACTTCTGATAAAGCTCACAAAATCTGTGTTTTTGTGATAGTAAAAACTCCTTACATGTAATCTTAATGTTATATTGTGTCATGTTTATCCAAATAAAACGGATAAAAAATATAGACCTCACTTTTTTGGTATTTAAATTGCATTGGCTTATATTGAACTTCATTCTTGTACATACAGTCACTATATTAAGCAGTACATGAAGTACTGATTGAAAAGTGTTTCTGTTGCTTCATGAAAATGCCTGTAACATCTGTGTATTTGACAAATTGCATCTAATCCACTTCATCTGTGATAAAGTATGCAACACAGCGAGAGCGTCACTATGAGAATGAAGGAAGTGTCTAACTTTGTTTTTAACAAATCTTGGCGATCAGTTAAATTCAGCAACAGTCAAGCACATGTATTTAAATAATACTAAGTTGCACTGGATCTTCACATGAAAAAACAGTTAGACATGTCATTTTGATTATCAGAGATGAATTTTAACTTAATGGATAAAATAAGTGACTAAAGGGGGGCTTTAAAAATTCACAGACCTACTTATTCTGCTATCCTGAGTATGCACAGCTATATGGTTAGTTACATCTTATGCAACTGAAGTCCGTGACCTTATGAGAACAGATCTGATATTGTGACCTACAAGTTGAGAACCACTGGGAAACAGCATTCCACATTGTGTGATCGGTCGCATATTGCACATTTTGGCAAATGTAATATTTCATGGTAATCCACATACATAGAAAATTCACAGACAAGCATACTGTACACGGCAAAAAGAGTAGGCTTTTGCAAACACAGTCACTGTTTTACTGCTGAAATATGTGTGCTAAGAACACAGTACGCATGCCGTCAAATACAAGAAGTATACTAACACAATAACTGAAGACGTACTGACAAAATCACAAGGATGTCTCTAAATTATTATCTTATTCTTTTTTTGGCAGCAGCTGTCATATCATATTCTTTCACTTGCTTTGTCAAAGGCAACCTATTGCCCCTTAATGAGGCTATAAATCTCATTCACTGTCTTTCAAGTATGACAGTAGCGTTACTGCATGGGGCTGTTATGAGTGAGATGATTGTTTCTTTAGTCACGTAGCTCTCATCTAAATCACCAGGACCTTTTTCCATTACAGGTGACACCGCTAATCATCACAGCACAAAAAATAGCTTGTGCTCAGCTCACCCATTAGGCTTTAAGTGAGTGAATCAGGATATAGATGGATGAAATATGCAGAAATTTGGTGTGACCATCTCAATCCACTGCAGGCATGTATTTACTGCACATGCAATACTTAACAGTGCGGGGTGAATATATGAATCAGAGTGAAATTAACTTTTTTTTTGGCACATGTATGGAAACAGATGCACTCACCAAAAATCTCTCCATTCCTGGCATATTCTGTCACTAGATAGAGCATGTTTTTGGTCTCCATGACCTATTGAAAGAGAAGAGAATTGGTTCTTATTCATTGCATGAATATGGGATGATTATGGCAATGCAATTAATATCACAAATCACACAATTCTGAAATCACAAGAGCACAAGAAACTGACAGCATTTTCACCTGTCACAAGTGTTCACGCTTGGCTTTAAGTGAGAAAACAATGCTACATCCTTTTTTTGTGTGAGGCAAAGGAGAAAATGGTGACAAGTGATTCACACTTAGTCAATAATATGTTATGGATATTATTTTAGATGCATAGGTGTAATATTTCATTAAAGGGGTCATATGATGCGATTTCAATTTTTCCTTTCTCTTTGAAGTGTTACAAGCTCTTGGTGCATAAAGAAGATCTGTAAAGTTGCAAAGACTAAAGTCTCAAATCCAAAGAGATATTCTTTATAAAAGTTAAGAGTCAACCACGCCCTCCTAAAACGGCTCGTTCGAACACACCCCCACATGTCTACGTCACGATGTGGGAAGATTTGCATAACGCCGCCCAAATGTTCACGCAAAGAAAGAAGGCGTAACTTTTATTCTCACTGTAGTATTGTTGCTGCCGCCATGTCGTGAAGGCGCTGTGTGTTTCCTTGTGAAAGCAAAACTACTTTGTTTGGCCTTCCAAAAGAGGACGATATCTGCTTCGTCATGCCTAGAGCTGATCCGTGCTGGTCGCTGAGGAAATACATCAACTTCGCGCTGTGGATCGCCGGATCGGCTTTCACCGTGGACGAAGCGGAGTCCAGCCCGGGGTCGTCACATGTGGTTGCTGCAAGCCCGCCGGCCACTCAAGCCCGCCTCCGCTCACTCTAGCCCTCCGTGTGTGACGCTGTGTTTCGTTATGAAAGTGAAACTACTTTGTTTGGCCTATTATTCTCTACACTGCTGTCCTCTCTTTGAGCACAATAACAACAGTACTATAGCATTACCTTGTCTTTTGGACATGTACCATGGTGGTGCTATCATACTCTGAAGTACACTGGAGTACCGTATTATAATATAGTGATACATGAATGTAGCAATAATTCAGTACCACGGTATACATGGCTGTCATACGTTTAAAACATGCTTTTAAATTTGAAACTTGACAATTACAATAACAAATAATATAATGAATACAATAATAAATCTGTATTTAAATTAGTAAATTAAACAATTGCACTAATATTTATTACTATATAGATTATTGTTGTTGTTTTGTTATTATTCTTTTATTTTAAATAATAATAATAATAATAATGCTTTAGACACAACTTCTCCCCCCCCTCCCTCATTTTAGAGTATGTCAACAAAACTATGAAACAAGTGAATAAGGGAACCAGTGAATAATAATAATAATAATAAACACATTAGTAGTAGCAGTAGTATCCTATATGTTCTATAGTTTTGCTGATGTTTTTATTTATTTTTAAAATATTTATATTTTTCAGATAAAGATAATACAAAATAATTATCTATAAAATAAATAATACCATCAACAAAACTATAAAACTACACCAGCGGATTATAATAATAATAATAATAATAATTATTATTATTATTATCAACATATTATTATTATTAACCACCGTGTTGTTCCATAGTTTTGATGACGTATTCCAAAATGTGGAACATAGCTGTGTCTAGAACATTGACTAGTAATGTATATCAGTGCACCTTTGTGTTTCTATCTGCTACTATGGTAATTTTTTTGTGGGCATGTTTCTTCGTTTGCCTGCTTGTAGGGTCTGGTGTTGGACTAATGACCATGTGCTAGATTCCTACAGGTTACTGACTTTCCCAGTTGACTCTGCCAAAGGAAGAGTGAGCATTTTTTGAACGCTCTATGTATAATACCAGACAGACAGATCACAATATGAGCACTGCCCCTTTTAGAAGTCATGATTGGACTGCTGCTGATGCTGTATTTGTGTTGTGTAACAGCGCAGGCAGCTGTTGATACTTTCAGCATCCAGGCCCAGAGTGACCTAAAAATCTTACATAACATAACAAGACTAAACCTGTAAATCACCCAGACGAAACTACTGGATTCAACAGTAGTCTCATGGGATACATGCTCATACAGGTGACAAATAAAAATGGCTTGCATGGTCAGTTTATGAATTATCACAAATTTATTGTAAATACACGCAATACACACATGCATGATCATGCAGTACCTGGTAAAGATTGATGATGTGAGGATGGTCCAGCAACTTCATGATTTCCACTTCCCTGTAGATCTTCTCCAGGTTCACTGCATCTAACTGGGTCTTGTCTATGATCTTAATCGCCACCTGTAATTCAGCAAATGCTAATGTTAATTATACTGAGCTTTCGTTATATGCATTTTTGAAGCCACCGATGCATTCATTATTTTCAGCTACCAGAATAATAAAGGATTTAAATTATCCATTGTGCTGCATAAAACAATAATAATTGTAGACCTATTAGCTTTCTAAAAATCAAAAGACCACTTAGGCATATGCCACTTTGTATACAAGACTTTATAGTTGTAATAAAGTAAAAAAAAAAAAAAAAAAAAATTGCTCACAGACTGCTGTCTCATGTCTTACTCTACAGCACCTTTTAAAATTATGCAACTGCAACTGGATCTACAGCTGTTCCACTTTTGCTTCTAAGTGAGAACTGGTGGGAAGCTGCATAACTTGTTTGATTTTATCTGACCTGATCTTGACTGCAGCTCTTAGTCACTCTACAACTCGAGTTCAGAGAGTAAACTGACCTTTTTCAAAGCACAACAACAGTGTAATACTGATGCCTGTGAAACAAAGGGTAGATCCAACTAGTTATTTAACTGTTATTAAATAAAACACACAGTACGCAATGCACAATTTAAGTATTTAATCAAGGTAAATAACAATCTGAACATGCAAAAAATGTTTCCACTTATGATTTGCCACTCTCTCCTAGATATCAAAGGCCAGTGTTGTCTGTTTTGTTTGGATCTATTAAGCCATTCAAAAATATATTAAAAAAGCAATTCATATAAAACTTGAAATCACATGTTCTGTGATGAGCATGCTTTTTTTTTCATTTTTGAATTAAAATATGTCAAGAAATGCCTAAATGTTTAATTTAAAAGTCATTAAAATGATTAAAAATGTTATAATAAGTAGATTGGTAGCGAAGAAATGTAGTTTTAAAATAATAATATTTTTAATAATAACATTTCTGTACAGCAATTCAGTCAGTATGCAGGAAGCAATACTGTCACGAGACAAAAATCAGAGGACCCCTTTAGAGCCTTTTTTTTTTTTTTAATTCACATATTTTGACTTTTTTTTATTGCAAGCCACATTTTGTCCAGGGTCAAATGGAGTAACCCTAAGAAAACATAATATTAATAATAATAATAATTATAATTATATATGTATATATTACATACTATACATCAACTAAATTTACTTGCACATTGAGTATATGTTTTTTTTAATTGTTTTTTTATATATATATATATATTTTTTTTAGTTGATGGTTACACCACTTAACATTGAAGAAATCATTACATTTTTGTTTTGTGCAAAATTGCATAAATGCTTTTCAAAAATGCATGAAATCACCGTGAACACAAATATTGCATTACATATATGAGAACTTAGCACATGTGATTTAAACTGCATTTTTTTTTTAAATTTCTATTTTTCATCTCGCAGGTCCCATTTGTCACAGACACAAATACAACTTCCAAATATTTAGGCATTTAACACATTTTCTATAGATACTCTCCTTAAATGATAAAAGTGATTCTTTTTTCCCGATTGTAAGAGCGCATGTACACTGAAAACACTAGTGTGTGAGATTGAGTGTGTGTGTGTGTTACTCACCTCAGATTTCGTGATGCGATGTCTCGCCAGCTTCACAACTGCAAAATTGCCTTTTCCCAGCGTGCGCTCAATATCATAAAATCCCACGCGAACCGGAGCCCGCTGCGACGGCTTTTGCTCCTGGGCGGCCATGACCATAGTTTTTCTAGTGAACTACTGGATAAAGAGGTGTGTGGATGATTTGGCCACCTTCACCTGCTCTTACATAGCAATTTAAGTGGCGGGTACAATTATGTTCCTAATGCCAAAGCTAAAATGCAGACGGGCCATATGGGTGCCAAGGGCTCCTGCACACTTCTTCGTTTCCAGATAAGGGCTCTACATAACTGAAATGAGAGCTCGGCATGAGGAATGATGTTCTGGCGCTCGACATGCATTGACGTCAGTGCTGAAGGGATTTTATAAAGGGGCGGATCTCACAGAGCGGCTTCAGTGTCCGCGACCAGCAGCATGTCTCCAAGACAACCTTATCCACTGCGTACGTCAATCAGCGGCTATTGCAATCTCCACAAACACATTCAACCCCGTTGCTTACATTTGACCTTCAAAAACTGAAATGCATTCCATTGTTTAGAATTTCTAAAAAGATCCTGCACGCGACATAAAGACACCACATCATAAATACGGATTTTATATGCATTTGTGCTGCAAGGCGTTTTTCATAGAGGACTGATTTTGCTCAATGAGTGAAAATAAATAAATAAATAAAATCACAGGCATAGAGAAAGCTCTCAAATGCAGCTGACATCATTACATTGGAATTTATATTATTTATATATTGGAATTTATTTATTTTTGTGTGTGTACCGCAACGTGGACAAAGGCACCATAAAAAGCAGACATATAACAACAACAACAATAATAATATTAATCATAATTGTTTTTGTTATTTTATAGTTTTGTGACTTAGTAGAAGTGTTTTATTTTATATTTGAACATTTATTTAAACATCTGTATATATGCGCTCCTAGTGCTCTAAGCATGTAGAGAGCGACCCCTGCTGTCAAAAACGCTTACTGCCATTATGTTTTGTTTTCAGCACACATGCACATAACTATAGATGGTGTTAAATATGTAAGTGAATATGTTTCAATTTCATTCATTTGTTTTTGTTTATTAAGGCTTCATTAACATCACTGCATTCACATTCCAATATTTGCATATAAGAAACTTGAAGGATGTTTGATCATTCATTATTTCACAGGAAAAGACAGTCTGCCAGAGATTGTCACAGTGTAATTACTGAGCCCCATACAGTACATCCAGAAAAAGCAGCATAACAGGGTCATGCAAACCAACCAGTGAGAGCAAACAAGCGGTCTCGTATCCGAGCATCTCATTCTGATTCGTTGAGCAGCTTGTTTGTAACATTGTACCACCTTTGAGTGTTTATCCTTCAGAATTTGGCTTTAAAGATGCATTAAAAACTGGCTAGTATTATTTTGTGTCATATGAGCCCATGGAAATTAGAATCATAATATAAATAAAAAAGAGAAAAAAAGGGCAAACTACATCTGATAATCATGTGTGACCTGTAAACCTCAGATGTTGTTGCAATGAAAGTCTGATTGAGAGTAAATTGATGGTAGATCTGCAGAAATCTGGGAATTAGTTTCTCTCATCAGGATTATTATCGTTAACTGAAACTAAAATTAAAACCATAAAAATACTTAAAATAATAATTAACTGGGAAAAAAACCCTTTAAACTTAAATTCAAATGTATATCTATTTTAACATATTTTATTTCAGCCCAGGCAACATTTCTCATTTTCATTTAAGTACTAAAATAACTAAAACTAATTAAGGTAAAACTATAAACTAAAACTTAAAAATGATATCGACATATTTAAAAATAAAAAATGAAATAAAATAGAAACTAGTAAAAATTACCACAAAATTGCTAAACGTTTAGCTCAAATTAAATGAAATAAAAAATATGAATAAAAATCGAATTCAAAATATTAACAAAAACTATAATGGTATATCAACAATACTAAAATAACACAGTCTCTCATTTATTCAGTACATTTAGGAGATTTCAAAATGCTGGAGTCCACACATATCCAGGCCTTCTTTTGAAATACTCGGGTAAGACACCAACAGCTATTATCATTTTAGAGGAGAATACGCAGTTAAATGCTAATGTTCATCTTTCATATCAGTAGCCATATAATTCATCCATCCATCCCTGGTCTCTGTAATATCTCCCGCTTCCACGGCCCTGCAGGGTGTCATACAAATCGTTGGTCACAAAGCCGCTCTCAGTGCTGGCCAGTGTCACAAAACCACTTTCAGTGTCTCTGCCTCCCAGGTTGTCGTAATCTCCAGGTGGAGTGTCTGGAGAAGAACCCAGGAAGGAAGTGTTCTTGATGTCAGGCCGCGTGCCGGCCAGGTCTGATTCATGCTGCCTTCGGATGACGTTATAGACATCAGGGCTCGGGCTGTTGCATCTTTCTCCAGGGGCCCAATATCCTGGGTCCTTTGGAGGGGTCTCAGTCTGTTGTTTCTTCCTGCATGCATAAATGATGTTGTATGCTCTCAAATTGATCAAATTTAAAATGTTTTGATCAGTGAAGTGAGCAGTCAAACAACGCACCTCTTTGTGAACAGCTTAAAGCAGAAAACTCCCGTCGCCACAATCAACAGCAGCAGAAGTGGTATGGTTGGCAGCACAATGTAAGCGATATTAAGAACATTGTCTAAAAAAAACATGCAACAGGAATTTGGTTAGTGTTGTCACACCCCTTTGGACTTTTGTTGTGTTTTTATTCCTCATGTGTTCTGTGACCCAGTTTTCCCTCATGTTTGATTGTGTCATTTAGTTCAGGTGTGTCTGGTTTATTATCCTCATTTGCTCCACTATATTAGTTGTGTTCTGTTCTCTGTTTGGGGTCCGGTCTACTACATCCCTACGTGTGTCTCCTGCCTGTTCTGTCCTGGATTTACCTTTGTGTGGATTTATTAAAGACTATTAGCATTCACCTTCATCGTGCATTTATCTCACTGTAGCGTGACAAGTGTGATCAATAAAGTTCAAATTTTGGGGTTGGTAAGATTTTTTAAATATTTTTGAAAGCAGTATCTAATGTTTACCCAGGCTGCAGTAATATTGAGGAATTTTTACAATATAAAATGATTGTTTCTATTTTAATATATTTTAAAATGCAGTTTAATCCTGTGATGACAAAGTTGTATTTTCAGCAGCCATTACTCCAGTCTTCAGTGTCACATGATCCTTCAGAAATCATGCTAATATGCCGATTTGCTGCTCAAGAAACATTTTTTATTATTGTCAGTATCTCATTATTTTTTTATTATTATTATCAAACAGTTGTACTGTTTGCTGCTTATTTTGAATATAAACCTTTTGTAATACTATAAATGTTCGAAAAACATTTGATCAGTTTAATGTGTCCTTACTGGAAATCTTACTGACCCCAACGTTTTGAACAACAGTGTATATTAGTTTTTTTCCAAAGATTTTATATATATATAAAAAAAAAACAGCATTCTGGGAAAAAAGCTCTTAACAAAACCCCAATAAGATGGAGTACATTTTTTACAATTATTGGATTACATTTTATATACTATTTCTACTTAAATATTTCATGTTTAATTGTTTCTTTGTAATTAATTGTGAAATTGACTACCAATTTCTAATTGAAAATTGTTCCACACCCATTTTTTTTATGTACAGCGGAGTCCAAATGTCTGAGACCACAACTGAAGATATGCCTAATTCTAGTTCAGATCTTATTGCAAATTATCAGCATAATCATTTGAATGAATCAAACTTGCAGCATGATTTGAGATGATCCAAAGAGCAGCTTGTGCCTCAATAGGAGTAGGAACATCTGATCGTCTGTACAGTCACATGACCAATGAAACTAATTTAATTATTTCTTTAGTGACCTAGAAATAGTGCTGAAGCTGAAATGTTTGTCTTCAATTTGCACCAAATAATTGTAATTTTTTTCAAAATCATAAAACTATGTTTACTCCTGGTATTTCAGGTTTAAATAATAATAAAAAAAAAATCACAGACTTTTAGACCCCATTGTTTTGAGTTAACAGGTATTCATGTCATGGCAGTCTTCAACCCTGTCTGTGAGAACAAGATTCACCTGGAGGTTCAGATACGAGCACCCTCATGCCATCATCCTTCTCTGTGACAGAGGGGTTTCTGGGTATTTTGGGTGTTGGAAGAGCATCTGTAATATATGTGAAATAGGTTTTATGGTATTATCTGGTGTAAGACATCAATATAGCAGCACAGCAAACAGAAAAAAGTATGAAACAAACACAGACAAATAAACCAATAAATGCAGACTTTCTCATATTCTCACAAAATGGATATCCATCCAACATTAGGCCAGCGGTCCTCAACCTTCTTGACTCCAAGGGCTACAAGGGCTGTTCAAGACAATATTTAAAAGTCCTTCCATCTACGCTGATATGTTCCTGTTTTTTTCCCATTGTAATTAAGATTATGTTAATTACACTAAATTTAAATGATTTTAAGACGGGATAGTAGGTAGAAAAAAAATCTATCATTATTTACTCATTCTCAGGTTGTTCCAAACTTGTATAACTAAACAGTTGACGGTAGCCATTGACTTCTATAATATTTTTTCCATACTATGGAAGTCAATGGCTACCGTCAACTGTTTGGTTACCAACATTCTTCAGAATATCTTTGTTTGTGCTCAACAGAAGAAAGAAACTCATACACGTTTGAAACAACATAAGGGTGACATCCCTATTCTCATAGAATTAGAACGATTATTAAAACTTTATAGTTGTAGTTATTGTCCTTGGTGTGCACAGGCCTTTACTAGGTCCCCCTACTGGTTGAACGACTGCACTGCAGTGAACCACTGCAATCGGTATCCTTATTTTACAAAAAATTAAATAAAATAAATAATTTGTTTTAAAATAATTTGCAATAATTATGCAGAGGTACTATATTAATATACAAATTAATAAATTTTGTCAAGCACAATATCCCTAGCTTACCTTCAAATGTTCCATTTTCTGCAGGGATGGGTGCTGGAGGTTTATCTGAAACATCACATGAAGACCATGTTATCATATACTATGCAGTTCTTGAATCAAATATTGCTATAATAGCACTGAAAATAATACTACAAATATTAACTTTTACATAAATGTCCAGATTTTCCGAAGAAAATGTGAATGGTAAATGAGCACTCCTCAAGTCTCTCCTACAGTGGGGGAAATATTTATTTGATCCCCTGCTGATTTTATAAGTTTGCCCACTTACAAAGAAATGAAGGGTCTGTATTTTTTATGGTAGGTTTATTTTAACGGATAAAGACAGAATATCAACCAAAAAAATCCAGAAAAAACACATTTTAT